GACCCACTGGGAGAGCACCTGCGCAGCCCAGGGTGGAGGGTCCGGTGAGGAAGGGCGGAGGCCTCCTGAGAACCTGGTGTTGTCGAGGGGGCGGCAAGAGAAGGAGCCTCTCAGAACCTGATAGGTCGGGGGGAAAGGAGGCCAGTCTGAGAGGGCCGCATGGCTCGGAGTCGCAGGGGCCCTGGGCTGTCGGGGGTGAGCCTGTAGGTGCAGGTGCAGGGGCCAGTTCTGGGGAGAGTGGCTGGGCTGCAGGCTGAGGAGCTGGGCTTCCTCCAGGGGCCGTGGACTGTGGGCAGCTGGAAGTAGGGAGGGCAGGGGCCGTCCGGTGGGGGATGTGCGGTTGCAGCGCGCGGGATGGAAGGTGCAGGTGAGACGCAGGTGGGCAGCATGGGGAGACCCGGGTCTGGCCTGAGGTGCAGCCTGGAGCTGTGGTCAGTGTGTAGACGGGCCTTGGTTTCTGCATCTGTAAGTTGGGGGTGTGCTGGGTAACAGCATCCTCCCCCAAAATTCATGTCCCCCTGGTACCTTTGGACCCAACCTTACTTGGAAATGGCTCTTTGCAGATGTCATTGAGATGAAGTCACCCTGGTGTAGAGCGGAGCACTCTTTAGCACAGCACGGGGGCTGCCCATGTGGCCGTGGAGGACACCCCCAGCCTGGCACAGGCACAGGCTGGAAGCGTAGCCCGGCCCCATCCCTGGCGGTGTGTCGTGGAGGGCCCATCCCTGGCGGTGTGTCGTGGAGGGCCCATCCCTGGCGGTGTGTCGTGGAGGGCCCATCCCTGGTGGTGTGTCGTGGAGGGCCCATCCCTGGCAGTGTAGGCTGGAAGGCCCGTCCCTGGCGGTGTGTTGTGACATGTGTCATGACATGGAGTTTGATTCCTAACTGACTGAAGCTTGAAAAGTCTGTCTTTTTGGTGGACCCAGGGAGTTGGGTGAGGAGGGTGGTGAGGTCAGTGGGGCTGAGAGCAGAGTCCTCTAGGACCCTGATGTGTGGATGCCCTCCCCAAGGGCCGCCGTGAGCCATCCAGCAGGAGGATCCTGGGTTTGGGGCTGAGCCGGTGGTTGGGAGAGCGGACTGAAGCGTAGCTGGACACTGTGGCAGGGCACGCGTTGCATTCTGATGGTGACAGGCGGGACACTCAGGGCTTTTGTCCCCTCTCTCAGTGCCTCATTTGCTTGCCTGAGGTGATTGGGAAGGCTGGAATTAGAGCCTCCCAGACAAGGGGGCCGTCCTCTGCCAAGAGCTCTGTGCGTGTCCGAGCATGGCCCCCGTTTTCCTTGGGTGGAGGCCAGCTCGGTGCCTTACCCAGGGCCTGTGGGCCCCAGCGCCCGGGTTGCCCGCCCCCTCCCTCTCAGCTGTGCTCCCAAGAGGAGGACTCACTGGGCTTTTTGAAAATGGAAGGAAGTAAGTTTTACATTGCTACACTTACCCTAGCCTGTTCATCCTTCCTTTTTAAACATTAAAAAGCAGTAAAAGTGGTGGTTACCAGGGGCTTGGGGAGGGCATGGGAGTTCCTGTTCAGTGAGCAGAGTTTCAGTTAGACAAGATGAGTCTGGAGGCAGCTGTGCAGCATGACAGATGTAATTTATGCCACGGAGCTGCACACTAAAAACTGGTGAAGTTGGTAAGATTTATTTTATGTGTGTTTTACCATAACCAAAAAATATTGTGGGAAAAGAAGTAATAGGCATTTTAGGAGATTTGGAGAGAGAATTGTTAGTGACCACCATAAGCCCATACTCCTGACGCCTGGCCCCAGAGCGCCCCAGTCTCTTCATACACCTGTTTGCTATAATAGCAGCCACGGGAGGGTCCCGTTTTTCGTTACCTTTGTCCCTTCACAAGGACAGGGTCCTGTGTGAGTCCGCCAGGGTGTTCCAGGACCCCCTGCCCTGCTGGTCTTGATGGATGGTGTGTGACGTGCTTCCCCCGCCAGGCCTCCGCTTCTCGAGCTTGGTCCTAGGGTCCCGGTACTGAGGTGCGGATTCGCCGGTTCAGGGGGCGTCTGTGTGCTTGCTCTGTCACATTCCGCAGTCCAGGTTAGCTTTTATTTCCTTTCTTTTTTTTTTTTTGAGATGGTGTCTTGCTCTGTCGCCCAGGCTGGAGTGCAGTGGCGCGATCTTTGCTCACTGCAAGCTCCGCCTCCCAGGTTCAAGCAATTCTCCTGCCTCAGCCTCCCCAGTAGCTGGGACTACAGGCCCAACTAATTTTTTTGTATTTTTAGTAGAGACAGGGTTTCGCTGTGTTAACCAGGATGATCTCGATCTCCTGACCTCATGATCCGCCCACCTCGGCCTCCCAAAGTGCTGGGATTATAGGCGTGAGCCACCGCCGGCCTAGTTTCCTTTCTAGTGAGCTTGAAGGTTTTCACACATTAGGAGGTGGTCTTGTCATTTTTCCTACGTTGACTACGTTGTCAGGCTGCCCTTTTTTTTTTTTTAACGGAGTCTTGCTCTGTCGCCCAGGCTGGAGCGCAGTGCCGCCATCTTGGACCACTGCAACCTCCACCTCCTGGGTTCAAGCCATTCTCCTGTCTTATCCTCCTGAGTAGCTGGGCTTATAGGCGCACATCACCTCGCCTAGCTAATTTTTGTATTTCTAGCAGAGACGGGGTTTCACCATGTCGACCAGGCTGGTTTCGAACTCCTGACCTCAAGTGATCCACTCACCTCGGCCTCACAAAGTGCTGGGATTACAGGTGCGAGCCACTGCACCTGGCCTAGTCAAGCAGTCCTGTAACATGGATATTAATCCTTCATCTATTATATTTGCTACTTATATTCCTTGTTTTATAGCATATTTTGAAATTTTTTACTGTTTTACAAATGAGAGCTTTTTACTTTTGCCTGGTTGCCTGTTAGATTTTTTTACTTTGTGGCTTTTTTCTCAGTCTCTTAATATAGACTACCATCTTCTTCTCTCTAGGGATTTGATAGCTACTAAGTTCCCTTTCTTTTTTCTTTCTTTTTTTTTTTTTTTTGTGACGGAGTCTCACTCTGTTGCCCAGGCTGGAGTACAGTGGTGCGATCTTGGCTCACTGCAGCCTCTACCTCCTGGGTTCAGGCGAATCCTCTGCCTCAGCCTCCTGGGTAGCTGGGACTACAGGCGCCCACCACCACGCCTGGCTAATGTTTGTATTTTTAGTAGACACGGGGTTTCACCATATTGGCCAGATGGTCTCGATCTCCTGACCTCATGATCCACCTGCCTCAGCCTCCCAAAGTACTGGGATTACAGGCATGAGCCATTGCACCCAGCTGTTCTCTTTTCTTTTGGTTTGTGTGTTTTTAAGTTTACTGCACCTTTAGTCCTTCTGCAATTTGTAGCTCCTATATTGGAAACTTTTCCAAATGGCTGACTTTTGCCCCCCCAACCTGGGCTATGAGCAGCGGTTGCTACCTCCCCATCACCCACAGCCCCCTCCTAGGGTCCTCCCAGCTTCCAGGGGGCGCTGGGCAGCAGGACAGTTCCCCGTAGAGCCTGTGTCCTGTGGGTTTTGCAGCAGGGATACTCAAGCATCCCAGAAGTGCTTCCCCTCCCCTCACATGCCGGGAGTCTCCGCGGCTCTGTGGCTCAGAGCGGGTTCTGGTGCGTTCTACGTCTTCGGTCCTCACTGTGAGTGAGATTTCTTGCCACAAACCGTGATGCCGAGTAGAGCGGAGGAGGCTTGGGAAGCAGGGCGGGCACATCAGGGCTGGACCTGACCTTGCTGTCAGTGCTTCCCTGCCATGCTGCCCGCCCCAAGCAGGAAGTTCAGGAAATGCCCCCGCCAGGGATCACTCCCCGTCCCCTCTCTCCTGGCGCCTGACCCAGTCGCCCTGTCTTCTTGAATTCCCGGATACCTTTGCCTTACTGGTAACCTTACTGGTATGCCTTACTGAAAAGGTTCAGAGGCAAAAAATTCAGCTCAGAAAACTGGTCCGTGGCAGGACAAGCTTTCAGCCCAGGCGTGCGCAGAGCAGTCCTCCCACGGGGACCCAGGCGTCTTGCACAAGCTGGGGACGGGGTTTTGGGAGAGGCATCCGGGCCGTGGAGCTGCGTGCCGTCCTCTCCCTGCCTAGCTGGTCCCTCCTGTGGGCCACTGACCCTGGCCCCCAGGTTTTAGGGGGTACCTTGGTGTTGCTGGCCAGTTGGGGCAGCGATGTGGGGAGCAACATCCCGTGGCATATCCGCCCTTTGGCACCCGGTGTGTGTGAATTACAGGTGTCCTCACGCAGCACACAGTGACTCGCACCTCAATGTGACCTGGCCTCTGTGTTGATTGGAGTGGGAGGCAGGCATGGGGGCTGGGACAGGAGGCACAGCTGGCTGCGGGTGCCTGGGCCTGCTGTCTCTGGGAGGGCTTCTGGGAGGTGGTGCGATCGGAATGTGTCTCAGAGTACAAACCTGGTTGCATGGCGAGTAGGAACATGCTTTAGGCAGAAGGAGCAGTGTGGGCGGAGTCCTGGGAGCTGGGGCCAGGTGGAGCAGGCGAGAGGGACATGAGGCCAAGTTCCCTCGGTCCAGCAGAGAGTCAACCAGGGCATCCCTAGCACACGCATCTGCTGGTTTCCAGGCGTGGCTGCCGTCCTGGCGCTGTGCTGGCTGCCGTCCTGGCGGTGTGTGTGGCCGTCGCGTTGACCATGTTCTTGATGGTTCGTTAGGCAACTTTTCAGCATGGCTGGCCCTCCTTAACAATTCCAGAGCAGCATTCTTCCCTTGTGCCTGCACACCGCCCCGCTGAGCCAGGCTGAGAACCCTGGCTTCCTTCTGCCTGCTGGAAGCCGGGGGTCTTGCTTGGTGGGAGGCAAGGACGCAGCTCAGTGCTGACCAGGCTGGGCTGGGTGGGGTGGCCGAGGACCCCACCTGGTGGGTGCAGGGCGGGGGTCTCTGGGTGGGGGTTTCTTTGGAAAGCTGGACTAGTCGTGCCCTGCGTGTGGGAGCTGGGTCGTGGGGCTTGGAGGTGTGTGTGGGAGGGATGGTGGCGAGCGGAGAGTGACCATGCCCCTCTCTTGCAGGGAGCCCGAGCGTCATGTTAGGGTGAAGCAGAGGAGCTCAGTGCTGAACATGCTAAGGAGGTTGGACAAAATCAGGTTCAGAGGTCACAAGAGAGATGACTTCCTCGATCTAGCGGAGTCTCCCAATGCCTCGGACACCGAATGCAGCGACGAGATCCCCCTGAAGGTGCCGCGGACCTCGCCCCGGGACAGCGAGGAGCTGAGGGACCCTGTGAGTACCTGTCCTCGTCCCCCGGTGTGGGCTGGGGTGTCATCCCCGTCCTCTGTGGCCGGGCCGCGCGTGAACTCAGGCAGATTCGTGTCCTGCCCGTGCTGGTCAGAGGCGGACTGGGCCTGACTCTCCACTCACCTGCCCCCGACCCCTGCAGACCTCATGGGGCCGGGGTGCTGCCAGGCCGAGCCTTCTGTGTTCCCAGGTCTGATCAGCAACTGCACTGGTTTTCCTCACTGGCTTTTCTGGGTGGGTGGCAGATTTCTCACGCACTTGTGACATGGAAGCCTCGGCCTGGCCCTGGGAGCGTTGACATGCGAATGGAGCAGGGCGCGTACTGTCTGGAAGCCGCTGGTGCCTGACTTGTCTTCTGGTCAAGCCAAGGTGCACGTTCCAGCCCCCAAAGCTGGCTGAGCCCAGGCTGGGCCCTCGTCAGCCACGTGGAGTCAGGGCTGGGCCTGTGGCCGGCTGGGGGGACAGCAAATACCCATGGAGCACCTCAGTTAGGCCCTGGGCCTGGGGTGGGAGCCAGGTGGAGAGCCAGGTGGGAGCCAGGCAGGATTGGGCCCTGCCTTGCGGAAACTTGCATTTGGTGGGGGGCGGGTCTGGTCACGTAGCATGGTGGGCTGGGTTCCCTGCGGCCCCTCCTCTGGCCCAGCGTGGCCTCTAGCACCTCCCGGTGTGCACCCACCATGTCCGGCTGGTTTCCTCTCCCATCCCCTGAGCCAGGTCTTCTTTCCCGGTGTGGCCTGGGAGCGCCGGCCTCCCCTGGCTCCTCGCGTTGCTAATGCTTTATAGCAGGACAGTGACTGTGCGTTGCTCTCAGCAGGAATGAATAATTTACTGCTGCTGCTGCTCTCTTGACGCTGCCCAATCAGCAGAGGCGGCCGCTTGGCTTCCTGGGGCGTCACCACAGAGCACGGAGCGCCCAGCCTGCGGGATTGGCCGTCCCCGGGCAAAGGTCGTGGTTGGTCCTGGGAGTGGACCGGGACCCCGGCGGGGTGTCTGCCCTTGTGCGGGTTATGTGGCAGAACGGCAGGGGCCTGCCCTCACCAGAGAGCTGTGTCTCATCCGCCTCTGGCTGGGGCTGGCACGGAGGGCGTGGGCCACGATTCTCCGATGGTGGTCTTTGTGCTGAGTGGTGGGTGTCTCGGAAACAAAAATCTCCCTCCCCACGCACACATGGTTCCAAGCTCAACAGGGAGGGGTGACAGGGATCCCACGCAAAGGCCGGAGTGGGGCTGTTTCCCCAGCTCCCTCTCCGCCGTCCGTCTTTCCTGCTCCAGGCGCTGTCTAGGTAGCGGCCCTCCTGCCTGAGGGACCCTGTGAGTACCTGTCCTCGTCCCCCGGTGTGGGCTGGGGTTTCATCCCTGTCCTCTGGCCGGGCCAAGCGTGGACTCAGGCAGATTCGTGTCCTGCCCAGGCTGGTCAGAGATGGACTGAGTGTGTGCGTGGTGTCTGAGGGGCGGGTGGGGCTGGCATGGGAGGAGTGGGTGGTGCAGAAGGTCTCCAGGGCCTGGCCTCCAGGGATCTTCCCCAGCCATTGACCAGCCATGAGGCCTTGGTGGGCCACACAGTCTAGCAGTACCCGCCCATGGCGTTTTGGTGCAGGTCACAGCTACTGTCATGGAAGAACATGGGAACTGGCACCTGGTGCTGCCCCTCCCTGGGATGGTCCAACAACCAGCCTGGCCAAGGGCCTCCTGCCAGGGGTGGTCTCTGCGTAGAGCTGCTAGCATAGTGGGACTGGGCTGCCGGAAGGTTCTGATACCAGTGCCGGGGCCTTGTGCTGTGTGGCAGGCCAGGGCTTTGGTGTTGGTGGAAGGCGAGGTTTGCGCAGGAGGTGACTCTGGAGGTGCGGTGCCTCTAGGACCAGGCCTGGCTTCTGTGGCTATCAGGGGAACATTGGTCCAGCCCTGGGGCTCCTGTTGAGGTGAGGAATTGGGAGAACTCGTGGGTGTTTATTCTGGGACTGTGATTTGGTGTCCCGTGTTTGGATGGCTTTGCTTGCCAAGGCTGTTATCGGGGGAGAGCCTTTCCCTGGGGTTGCCATGGTCCTGGACATGCCGTGGTGGGTGAGCTGGAGGGCTGGAGTGAGGGGGCAGGTGCAGGGTTGCAGGTGTTGGTCTGGTTGGATCAGCAGGAGGTAGGGCTGCAGGATTGTGAGGGTCTTCACCTGGGGCAGAATATCTGGATTTGGGGGGCATCAGGGAGCCCCTGCGGGGGAGGGTCACTGTCAGAGCTGGCTGTTCCAGGGTGATTGTCTGGGGAGTAGCCTGGAGAATGTGCCTCCTGGGGGTGGCAGAGGGTATGGTGCTGGTGGAGTTGCTGGGGTCACAGGAGAGGCAGGCTGTGGTCTCGACCAGCTCTGGTGGGCAGGTGGTGGTCCACGAGGCGTAAGGGGGCTTGAGGGGTCATGTTGAGTTGAGAGGGAGCCCGCCGAGGAGGGTCAAATGCTGCAGAGGCCAGGGCAAGGTCAGCCTGTGGACTGGGGCCCCCCTTCCTCAAGGCTATGAGGGGCTGCAGGGAGAAACCACCGCAGGGACTCGGCCGTCCGGAATCCCAGGAGATTCCCAGTGTGGGCAAGCAGGGCCCTGCTTGGGGCATCATGCTGAATGGAGGTCAGGCGCTGACCGCCGAGACCAGGCTGAGCCCCTTAGCTGTTTAACCTGGACCTGAGCCTCAGTGTCCTCAGCTTTTAAGGGGGACGGCAGTCTCGTCCACCTCCAGGCCTGCTTTAAGGATTCAGTGAGATACTAAGTGAAACGTGCATGGCTGGCATCTTGCTTGTGGTTAGCTTGCAGGGAGCTGTAATTATTAATGACCGTGAAATATTGATTCGCTAAACCCCCCTGCCAGTTCCAGGGCTCCTTTGCAAGGCCTCATTCCTGTAGCATGTAGACGCTGCTCCGGGCCAGGCTCACGAGGCTCCCCGGATAGGGGGCTGTGCAGCGTTGCCCTGCTCCTTCAAGCCGCCCTCTCATCAGCCTTCTTCGGGCATGCAGCCTCCCAGAAACATCCTGAGATCTGGTTTCAGGCACAGAGACCTTGGGGGTTGGTTTTATAACAGCTTGATCGAGGTGTTCCCACCCAGTATACAGTTCACCCACTAAAAGTGTGCGATTCAGGGATTTCTATTAGTAGTGTATTCATAATGCTGTGCGACCTAAATTACTACAGTTTTAGAAGGTTTTTAGCACCTGAGAGAGACCCCATTCCTTTAGCAGTCACTCCCATTTCCCTCGGCCCCCAGCCTCGCCAGCCGCCAGCCTGCTTTCTGTCTGTGGATTTACCCGTTTGGGACATCTCATATAACACGTGGCCTCGCGTGTCTCTTCTTTGCTTGCATAAGGGACTTGAGGTTCATCCATGCTGCAGTGTGCATTGGTGTCGCCTGCTTTTTTATGGCTGAACCTGTTTAGTCATATGGTCCAGCCACATTTTCTTTTTCTTTTTTCCTTTTCTTTTTTTTTTTTTGAGACAGAGTCTCACTCTGTCGCCCAGGCTGGAGTGCAGTGGTATGATCTCGGCTCACTGCAACCTCCACCTCCCAGCTTCAAATGATTCTCGTGCCTCAGCCTCCCGAGTAGCTGAGACTACAGGCATACACCACCACGTCCAGCTAATATTTTGTATTTTTAGTAGAGATGGGATTTCGCCATGTTGCCCAGGCTGATCTCGAACTCCTGAGCTCAGGCAATCCACCCGCCTCGGCCTCCTAAAGTGCTGGGACTACAGGCATGAGCCACCATGCTCTGCCTGTTGTCTTTATTCATTGATCTGTTGTGGGCACCTAAGCGGTTCCCACTCTTGGACTGTGATGATTAAGGCTGAATGCCTGTGATTGAGTTTTTGTCTGCACGTGTTTCCACACGGTCTCGCTGGGCCATACAGGGACCCGGGGTTTCCCTTTTCCAGGATCCACCGTATTCTCCCGTGCAGCTGTGCCATCCTCTGTGCCCACCGGTAGGGTCTGAGGGTTTCCCTGGAGGGGCAGATTCAGACAGGAGCCCGTCCTGCAGCCTGGGGTGCTCTGACCGCCTCTCCCAATGCTCCAGGAGCTCTTCCGTGGGGGACCCCAAACAGCCTCACTCTTGGCAGCGGCTCAGGATTTCCCCCTGGGATGTTGTCCCTTCAGCTAATCTGTCCCCACTGAGGGATCGCAGGTGCTTGTGGCTCTTAGCGTCCATCACTCCTGGCAGCCTGGTGCCCACGTGGGCTGCGACACCCTTGGTGGAAGTGCTGGACCGAGTGTGCCTGTGTGGTGGTCCTGGCACCTGTGCGGTGTACCCTCCATAGCCCCATGAGGGCCGTGTGCCCTCACCCTGGCCTCCACAGTGTACCCTCCTGCAACGGCCCTGCGGGGAAGCTATGAGGCGGGCACCGCAGGGCCCGGTGGGGCACACGGCCCTCCGGGGAGCGTATGGGAGGGCGCACCGCAGAGCCGGGGTGGGGGCACCACCCGGCCCTCGGCGTGAAGCTATGGAGGAGCGGGCAACCGCAGAGGCTTCTCCTCACA